TAACATAGATGGTACTAACTGATTGTTATGCTAGTTGTACTGTAATAAGTATGGTTACTAGGCTAGGCGTTGCATATACATTCTTTGTTTTATAATAATGGCTTATCTATTGAAACCATTTTAATGTTTTGTTGAAATTCTTGTAAACCAAAGTTGCCGACCTCACAGGTAGCAAAGGCCTGGCTGCAATTGATCATTTCTACAAGTACTTGAGGCGCTATGGCGTTTTAACACCGAAACATGTCCTAGCTTGACCAAATCTGTTGAGCCGTGACGGGATTACGTCAGTAATCTAGCCTTACATTATGTCCAACAGCTTCGGGACCACAAACTTTCATTTTTATTTTCTTTGTAGGTCACGTAAAGATAGCTACAAACCGAGGAGTGATATTTTTGATATCAGTGCCGTAGAATTGAGCGTACGGGTTCGGACAGATTGATTAGTAATTCAAAGATATTACGAATTGACTTCTGTGTATTTACTCTTTATTCGTTTAGAAATTTCTGTGGTATTGTTCATAGTATATTTTGGTGTTAATAAGAAACAGTTTAACATTAGTATAGAATATGCTCTAGGGATTACATTTCAATGGTACTATTCGTTACATTATTTTTGAATGCATATGTCACACAACATGTCTTGCTGTTCGTTATAGCTGGTAAACATTATTCTATTTTGTAATTAATTACTTAAAACCATTGCATTAATGATATGTTTCCAATTATTGTATAATATACCTTTTAACATATTTATGCAAACTTTTGTTAAATAGGCCTATATCGATTATTTGTTGACATGCCGTAATCATATACTTGGAACCTAAGGTAATATTGCACCATAACTATTAAACATTTTACTATGGAGTTTTATGGACAATAAAATGGTGATTAGCGTTTTTTTATATTTCATTTCGATCCAATGACCTTTCTTTTAGGGTTTATGACTCCAATTTGTAAATCTGATGTTAACTTAAAGGGTCAACAGAAAATTCGGATATTAACTAAAAGGGTCAACAAAATAAAATAATTAATACAATTAAATAAAACGCTAACAGAAATTCCCTTATACTACAAAGCGAGACGTGAATAAATTGATATGCGTTACTTACAATGCAGACTATCTAGCCTAGATAGCTGTGATAGTTGCAGACAGTCAGGCTATCACTTCTAAAGGATTTCATGGAATTTATTCCACTCAACACCCAAGATGGTTTTAACATTTGTAGGTTGCTCCCCTAAGACACTACATTTTAGTTGGGGGAGAAAGCTGGTCTAGTGGTTAGAGGGCGGGACTCCGGTTCCTGGGGTCCCGGGTTCAAATCCCGCCAAATCACCAATTTATTTGGCCGAATCATCAAGTGATAATGCCGTAACCCCTAGGTCTAGCCTGAAGTAATGCGGAAAAAATTCCGGCTCGTGCCTGGCGTCCTTGGGGAATATCTTGATAGGGGATTATATTGAAAGTTTATTTAATAATCACTTAAAACACCTTGTATTTTTCAAAAGATGGCATGTTTGTGCCTTTTTGAGCAGGTCGTAATACCATTTCAGTCTAACGTTTCCCTCTACTAAAATATTGTTATATTCATATCCTTAATGCATAATAGGTTTGATGTTTATGGATTTAGGGATTTCTCCATTTAACTACCTTAAGTACAGAAGAAGCTTAGTAACTATCGCTGGGGGGTTACAACACTTACCTGGGACCTCAGACATGGTCAAGACATGGACGTAATCCTCTGACAAGATACTCTCGCTACCTTTATTGGCAAAGATTATAAAAAAAAACTTTTGAAATAAAGTAAACGAATGTTTGTGCTCGTACACAATTATACAATAAATGAATGGTAAAACACGTACAGAACAGTTTTACCCAATAAGTTCAAAAGTGAGTCCCTTTAGGAGTTTATTATCAGAGCCAAACGTATACAAATTCTGGTCTTTCACATCCATAGTTGCTTGCATATTTAAATGTAACTAATTAACATAAGCTACCATGAGCTACAAGTGTAAGAGATATTTGCTAAATTTGTATTTTAACCAATAAAATAAAGTTGTCTTTTTGTAGTCTCAGTATCAGGTCTCAACCAAAACATTTACTAATAAATTTAGTTACTTTTAAATTATAAATTTAATAATCGTAATTACTCATTTGTTTCTTCAAACTATCTATCTATCTGCCTGTTTATATCCTTAATAAAAAAAGGGGTTTCCACAATATAAGGTGTTATATCCCTTTTTTAGCCCTCTTTCTTAACCTATTTCTACGATTGGTGTACAATTGTAAAACTTATAATCTAGATAATGGTAAATAAAAAGTGAGATTTACTTTAGAACTTCGCCCCCTAGCATTTGAATTTTTTCCCAATTTGTTCTCAAAGATTCAGCGATGCTGACCAACCTTCTAATAATTTAAATTTGACCTAATTTTATGTCAGTTGAATGTTTAACAACAGTCAAATTGTAATTAAGCAAAAGTTTTTTGAAAATGGATTTTAAAGAGGCAATTTTTGTTTACTGTAACCTGATTGAAGCAGGTAAGTGTTGTAGATCTAAAAGCACCAAATTTAATTGATTTATTATAAGTAGTTTTATTCACTCAATCTGTCTCCAACAAACATAATCATAGAGGTAAAAGGGTATTGCATTATGTTCTTGCCTTGGAATCCAACCAAATTAAAATGCTCAAACTGCGCACGGGTCTAATCGTTCGTTTATATTACTATTATCATTATCGATTGAGATGGAAACGCTCCCCAGGAGCGGATTTTAGCCTAAATACGAGTGAACGATGAGTGTGCAGTGTAGTGAGAGGCCTTGTGTAGGTGTGTTACGGACTAATACCAGATGTTTCATTAGCCAGGACCGTTTATCAATGATCAAGGACAGTTGGCTAAAATTTTGAACCGCCAAAAAGGCTCTAACTTTTCTCAGGATCGAACCAGAGGTGTTAATACATCCAAAAGTGCCCCTTGTCGTGGTAGATGGGAAGCGCTATTTAGCATACTTAATTAGTAATTATATTGTAATTTAAACTTTTGAACAGTGAAATTATATTTCTTCCGTTTCTAATTAATTTGTTGGAAGTAGCTTAACATTTTCTATTCTAATAACTGGGTATGTTTTACTGTGTATGAGATTTATAAATGAATAGGTAAAACAAATATGTAGATAATTGTGATGCATTCGACGGTTTCTTAGTATCGTAAGGGTTACTTAGGAATGTAATATTACATAGGGAATTATACACAAGACACCCATAAGGGCAAGCATTATAGGGGAGGGTTGGTCAAAATTACCATGTTACAGAGGCGGTCTGTTCCATTCATTACAAAACCAATAAATAATATATAGCCAAGGTATAGTACCTTTTAATTATATTATTTTAAAGTCATAATGTTTTAAATCCTAAGTACACTTACTATAGTTTGTTACTATACTCTAATTGTTATTATACTTTGTGCACTTACTATAGTTTTATACTTGGTAACGTGAAATGAAAACAATATTCAGACTTCTTAAAAACGTAAGCTGTTAATGTTTTTATGTACCAGGTTTCAGTTTTATATTACCGTTTCCATCCTCTGATAAACTCAAATTGGAGTTTGGTATCAACACTTCCTTGGGTAGGGAAAGTTGTAAATCCTTAGAAATAACGTGATCTTTTACAAAAGCCTAATCTTCAGCACACTGGTTCACAAACCCAGGTTCTGCAGCATGGACGAGGGGCAACGCCAATACACTCCACCTTTTGAAACATCTTCAAAACCTCTTAAATGCTCTTTACAAATAGACGTTTTCGTGTTAAATAATAGAATTGAACGTAATTTTGTGAAACGAATCAACTAGTAAACACATTAATTTATTAAAAGATGATGGAGCATTCCTTTTACGGACTTTTAAAATACTCCAAGATTATTTAGAGGGGAAATAAAATAGAAAACTTGCTAAACATATTAGAAACTTGTTAGTGGCATCTTTCTATCCAAACCATTTGAACGTTATGTGTTCATAATAATGAAATAGGTATAATCTGGAGTGGTTAAGATAGACAAAGGCAATTTTCTTTCAAATTTCCAAATTGAATTTTGTATGTTTAATTAACTAGCCTCGTTGGTTTCAAATGTAGCCCATAGCAGGGATGTAGACAGTCATAGGATGGGCTAAAGGTTAGGTTAAATCGAAACTTTGAACGAAACTGGACACGCTGCACCAGAAGATCGTAGTCGTAGTGTGTTGCCAACCTATTTCCAAGGGATTATGTGCATAATAAAAGCACACTGTTTTGTATTGTTTGGTTAGAATACTAATTGGCGTGCGACAAAGTAAAAACTGTGTGACAAAGTAAAAAGTGTGCGGCAAAGTAAGTACCCACAAAGTAAGTACCCCACTACATTTCACTATATTTGATCGTTGTATTTCGCATGTTGTAATAAAAATACAAATTTACGGATGTATTGTATGTCCATTTTAATGGTTGAGTTTGTTTATGTTTATATACTTTTTTTACTAACTGTTTTTATTGTGTTATATAAGTAGCCCATAGTAGCTAAACAATAGTAATTTTCTATTAGTTTTTGGCGGAGAGTACGTTTTAGACGGAAACTTTTCTGAAATGGTTTTCACATAAAATGATAATGTAATCGATTTTACTCAAAGTGGTTGCTTTTCCCTTTGATTCCATCTCACAAAATATAACTCAAAGACTGACAATATTTTACGTAAAAGCTCCAGACAGAATTTCGTTTGAAGTCGCTCCTTTATATAATCATAGAATCTGCATCGTCGTCTTCAATACGAGAACTGCATCTAGTTGTAAATCTTATATCAGTAAATTCAGAGGATAAATAATTTAGACCAATATTTAATACTTTCGTGCGAAAATACAGTGTACATTTCAAAATTTCAAAAACAACGAAAACATCAAATTGTTGGTTTACTTGGTAACATTTAAATATTTGAATCTGTAATTAAGGATCAGTTGTACAAATATTTCGAAGAGCACAATCTGCTCATGACCGGCCAGTGTGGCTTCAGGGCGGGTCTCTCGACCATAGATGCTCTGGATAAGCTTGAAGCAGTAGTACTGCATGGATTTGAGGCTGGAGGCTTTACTGGGGCCACCCTGTGTGATCTCAGTAAGGCTTTCGACACGGTCGACCATCGGATACTGCTGGATAAATTTAATTTTTATGGAGTAAAGGGCTCTGAACTCAGGCTCATGGAGTCATACCTGGCTGGGCGTGAGCAGAGGGTGCTCATAAATGGACATATCTCTAGCCCTTGTCAGATCACTCATGGTGTCCCACAGGGGTCTGTACTTGGCCCCCTTTTGTTCATTATCATGACCAATGACCTCATTCCAAATTTTGGAGGAAATGTCGTCTGCTATGCTGATGACACTACCCTTTTCAGTTTCTCTAAAGACCTGATAACTCTAAATGGTCAAATGTCTGAGTCCATGGGGATAGCATCAGCATGGTTCCGAGCTAACTTTTTTAAGTTAAATGAAAGTAAATCCCAAACCATTGTTTTCACTTTAAATCAGATGGATCATGAAGTTTCAAATGTTAAATTACTAGGCCTATATTTGGATCCAAAGTTAGACTGGCACTGTCATATTTCTCATGTCTGTGGTCGTTTGTCTAGGGTAATTTTTCTCCTGAGAAGACTTAGAGACTCTGTACCCAAGGAATGGTTAAAAACAGCCTATGTAGCATTTTTTCAGAGTGTACTTCTGTATGGTTTGCGCCTGTGGGGCTCCGCATCTGGGGTCGAGAGGGTCTTGCTTCTGCAAAAGAAAGCAATAAGGATTGTGAATGGTGCAGATTATCTGGACCATTGTAAACCAATCTTTGTTGCCGAGTCCTTGATGACAGTTTACAATCTCTTCATTTTGCAGTGTCTCATGTCATGTAAGAGGAAGCTTGGCACTCTCGAGCTCAGAGGAGGGGTCCACCACTACAACACTAGGAATAAGCAGGATCTAAACATACCTTATGTTAGACTAAAGAAAACCCAGGCTAGTAAGGAAATCTTAAGCTTGAAATTAATGAACAAATTGCCTTGTACAGTTCGGAACCTGCCAATCACTAAATTCCAAAAGAGGGTGAGGGAGTTCCTATTGGCTAACCCACTTTACTCAATCCATGAGTTTTTTGAACTTCCTGACAACTTGTAAGTATGTTTTTTTGTGAGTTTTGCAAGTGTGGTTTTATTTTCTATGCATGGAGTGTTGCAGGAACAAACAAATCATGTAATTTTTGCAATTTTTTAGTACTCTAACCTAGTATTAGTTTATTTGACTTTTTCCATACATGTATCATGTTCACGGAAATAAAGCATTTCATTTCATTTCATTTGGTAAGCTACATTTCCACGGCTGCAACCACATTCGTCTTCACAATTATAGCTTGAATAGTAATTTAATTAAAGGATTTGTATCTAATGAACCACAATCTTTCCAAGTTTATTTTATAACATCAAGGGTTTTATATGAGGGTTTAGGTAGTGACTTTTCAGCCACCCTGTATATTTGCAATACAAATTTTTTATTCATATATTTAACAATAATAAGACAACATATTTACATCAAAATAGAGGATTATGGTTTTTGTGTTAATACCAGCCATTTCTTAACTTTTCACAAAGGTGTCCTGTGGATAATGTTGAAAAAACCATGGATTTTATAACTTATAGTTTAGCCATAATTAAGCTACAGTTAATAGAGAACAAAACTACTGAAGTATGTTGTAAGTATGTTTTATAGTATGTTGAATTCAATACAAGAACCAGGTCCGAGAATGTCGCAGTCTTATCACTGGAATTTGCCAGTAATTAATTGTTGTTGTATACTACTTAACGTGATAAATGACGAACGTATAGTAGCCTGCGACATAACTGTCATAGCATTCGTTCAGTCATCCTCTCCTAAAAATAAATACCCTGGTGTATTGGCGTGGTATACATTTAGTCTAATCCAATATAATCACAGAGCGATGAATATGGTAATTCAATAACGTATTCACTCAATTCAGATCTTTTCTTTCCGAGAAACATTTTGAAGGTTTTTAAACGATAAAACAAATGAAGTAATTATTTTATCAATACATATAACGTATATGTCCACTCGTAATCATATTAAACCTAAATTAGTAAATTACTAAGTTCTACGGAGGTAAATATGCTCCAAGTCGTGGATATAACTAAGAAATATTACTTCCTATGAGTCAACAGAGGGTATATATCAAGTATGTAACTTTAGAGTTCATTAGAGTAAGTGAATACAAAAATATTAAATAGATAATTCATTTTAAGAGCAAAATACTTACAGACCAAAACCCTCATATCTCTACAGCAAACATTCCAACTTCCTTATAATACTTCATTGTTATTGCTCTTGCATGAACGATATAATATAGTTTTTCGTGTTTTCAAGGGATCTATACCCGCCTTTAATATTCTTTGAAACTAAAAATACAGTAACGCATATTTATAAATATATATATGTATGTATATGTATATTTTATTTATATACAGTATATATACATTCCTTGTTTCTTACATTTTCTAGCACGTGGTTATTTAAATTATATTATAACCCAACTTTTAACTGATAAATAACATTGAGAAACCCTATGTGAGAGATCCAACCAGCGTAGGCCAGGTAGGTTGGATTTGTAAGAAATATGATCCAACAAAAAACTTTATTTAACAAGTAAACTGAAAGCAGTTTATCCACAAAAACATTTTGAGACAATTCATAAACCCCAACTTTAAGTAAAATGTCGGTATTTTCATATTTTATCACGGCGGAGGGACACATTTACGTGTACTGGTGAAATTACCTGCTGTCAAGTGATCCTTTTGACCTTTAAAGGCGACCGGTTTCGATCCTCACGGGATCATCTTCACGTCGTCATCGTCTTTTCGTTCTTGCGAACACGTCGTTTTTAAAAAAAACATTGAGTAGACAGTTTTTAACATTTAAAACACAAAAACACAAAACACGAAAAATGGCCAATAACTTATTATGGTACCGATCGGTGGAGCGGCGGGTGACACGGAAGTTGAGTCTAGACTGACCGCTGCAAGCCGGTGTCATTGTTTACTTGTCCCCTCCCCTAATCTTTCTTATCAGGTGCACGCTTTTGTTTGTATCCATTTTCAACTATTTTTATTGCTGTGTCGAATATAATGTTAGATGCGAAAGAGAGCTTGTCGTTCAAAACATTTTGTGGGTCCTGTTTTACGGCTTTGTATATTTCGAACTCCTCAATTGTTGTCATAAATGGCCCTTTATTACATTTATGGAGTATTTCTAAATTATGTTCGATGTTACTGTAGCTGTGGTTGTAATCAATCAGATGGTTGGCATATGCTGAGGTGGATTTTTGTCTTGATTGCTTTGGCAGATGTTCCTTAAATCTGGTATTTAAGGAACATTTAAGGTATCTGTATACATGTATATATACAAGGACGTCAAAATAAAACTTTTAAAAACCATTGAGAACATTAATTTTAATAAGAAATGTCTAGAACAAGGTTTGGTACCAAATTATGTATCTGTAAAAGTAGGACAAAAGTCTCGAGTAGCCAAAAAAGCTAAAACAACTGCAGAAACCACTTGGATAAAAGGAGAAATTAAACGCCTTTATTCAAAGAAATGCATGCTAAATTAATTGCTATTCACTAAACACATTGATCTATTAAATTCGATACATTATTGTCAATTAAACATGGTCATAAATGAAATAGAGTCGCAAATAAGAAAGAAACTTGACAGTAAAAGAAAGATACAACACAAAAAACTCGAGAATCTAGCTAAGCGTCAGCTACACAATGAAATCATAAAATGCAACCATAAGTTCCATGCACGTGTAGTTAATAAAACTGACATAATATTCACAGACGACGAACTAGATCTTCTAAACAAAGGAATTAATTTCAATTTTCCAAACACGAAAAAATGTAACCTAATCTCAGAACTCTTACAGACTGAATCTACAATTAAATATATCCCAAATGAACAATCGAGAGACATTGCACGGGTTATGGTAGTCAACAAAGCTAACAAAACCTTGAAGAACCAATTCAATAAGCCCAAACAAAAGACCAAGTACCACACGCTAAAACAAGTAGCGACACACATAAGGAAAAAGCTAACTGATAACGAGGCCGTAATCACTAAAGCAGATAAGGGAAACGCCATCGTCATCCTCACGCTCAACGAATATTCAAATAAGGTTCGCAAATTCTTTGAGGAAAATGATATCCATAATATTGACAACGACCCTACTCAAAGGTTTGCTAAACAAATTAATAAAACCATCAATTCAAGCACACACTTACTTTTTAAAACGGAAATTAAATCAATGAAAGTAACAAACCCACAAGCTCCCATTTTCAGAGGATTACCTAAAATCCACAAACCTGAAACACCTATCCGCCCTCTAGTAAATTTTATCCCTTCACCTGCCTACAAAATAGCTAAAAAACTAGACAGACTAATAAGAAATAATGTGGTCTTAGAAAACAGTCACAATATAAAAAACACCATAGACCTTGTTGAGAACTTGACTTGACTTTCGTGGAAAGATAGACCACCTGGAAGAGAGCGTGCGCGATACCGCCGGGCACGTTGTCGTGGCGGGGGATTTCAATGCTAGGGCTGTCGAGTGGGGAATGACTCTCACTAATTCCCGGGGGAAGTACATCCTGGACTTTGCTGCCAGGGCTGGACTTGTTGTCATAAACGAGGGCAACACGCCAACTTTCCAGCGTCCCGGAATGAGGGGAACGATCCCAGACATCACGCTTGCATCTGAGTCCCTCTTGCCGAGGATACGAGCCTGGAGAGTCCTAGAGGATTATACGGCCAGTGACCACCAGTACATCATTTTTGATGTCATGGATAGTCATCAGAGACAAGCTACCGTGTCTCGGCAGGTGCCCGTTCGGTGGAACACCAAAAAGCTGGACGTGGCCAAATTCACCGAAGTCATACTACGGGGAGAGCCAGTGGTACCTGCTGCATCTGGCGTGGCTCACGCAGAGACATCAGTTACATCATTGATGAGGCTGATAGTCTCGGCCTGCGAAGAGTCAATGCCTCGCAGGAGATCCCGGTGCGATAAGCGACCTGTGTACTGGTGGACAACCGAGATCGCAGAACTACGACGGGCAGCATTGAGAGCCAGACGTCTTGCTACCAGGGCCAGAGAACCTGACGATAGACGTCTTAAGTCTGACGCTTACAAGGTGGCTAGGAAGTCTCTTCGCCGGGCCATTAACCGGAGCAAACGCAGTTGCTGGGAGAAATTAAGGGACGATGTCGATTCCGATCCGTGGGGCCTTGGTTACAAGATAGTAACCAAGAAGCTTGGCACCCGCTCTCCACCTTCCGTTATGGACGGGGCCTCTATGGAGAGGATCGTAAAGTCCCTTTTCCCGACTCACACACTGCGCCCATTGCGGGAGTTCGGAAGGGTGGACGACGTACCGCTTTTCAGTCTCGAGGAGTTGGAGGCGGCCGTTCTGTCCCTGAAGAACAACAAGGCTCCTGGACCGGATGGGGTACCTGGTGAGGCCCTGAAGAAAGTCTTTTCAATAAACCCACAAATCCTTTTGAGCACGTACAATGCCTGTCTGGCCGAGGGGAAGTTTCCCTTCTGCTGGAAAACAGCTAGGCTTGTGCTCGTGGGGAAGGGAAAAGGAAACCCAGACCTACCCTCCTCTTACAGACCTCTCTGTATGTTGGACACTGCTGGGAAAGTCTTGAAAAAGTTGATCCGTTCCCGACTGAATTCAGCCGTGGTTGCTGCAGGGAATCTATCCCCTCGTCAGTA